TCTATTGCGAGGTGCATGTTCTATATTAGTAAGGTGTGATGAGATACATTTAATATCCAATTTCTAAAATAATAGGTAAGACTTAACTAAATAAATTATAATAAGATTATATACGTTTAGAAGCAAAAGTTGGGAATGATCATACGATGGATTAGAATAAGGAGTTATTCACCCAACTGAAATATTCGAGAATTATATTAGATACAATTGGAAGAAACTCCTGCCTAAATAATTGAGTTTTATGTAATCAGCCTAACGCCGACTTAAAACAAAGTGAAATATAGATCTCGATCCACTATAAAATCTTCCAACGAGATTTTCCGAATCAAATGGTGATGGTCATTTGGTTTGAGTAAAATAGTGGAAGCATATTTAAAGGCCTAATTGAATATGTTGTTTTTAATTGATACTTATAATTTCATATTTTTCCACGTAGATAACCATGACAACCAACACATCTAACAACATTTTGCGATCAATCCTCAAAAAGGAAAAATTGTCTGAGCTATTTTTTTTGGATTGACACCGAAACCTGAAGATTGTCCTCAAACATGATAAAAAGTTGTATGTCTTAGAGACACCTATAAGAGTAACCTCCTAGTTCTACACTTAAGTAAGAAAAAAATGCTTATAAGAAGCACTCGATGATGCCAATGAAGTTGCCGACCTCATGCTGGTTACCATGAACTCGGAGTTGCAGAAGCAACATGAGAACAAATCAGGGTTCGATATGATCGAACACCTGAAGATGCTCTATCAAGAGCAGGAAAGACATGAAAGGTCTGAAGTTTCAAAAGCCCTTTTTCAAAGCAAGTTAATTGAGGGAGCCTCTGTAGGTCCCCATGTACTAATGATAATTGGGTATGCGGAGAAACTTGAAAGGTTAGGGTTTCCCCTCAGAAAGGAACTTGCGACTGATTTCATCTTGCAATAATTGTCAGAGAGCTTCAGTCAATTTGTCCTTAATTTCAACATGAATGATATGGACAAAACTCTTCATGAATTGCTAGGCATGTTAAGAACTGCTGAGAAAAATCTAAAGTCAAAAGGAAACTCCGTTATAATGGCCAGTAATAGAAAAAAACAGAACAAAAGGCCCACCAAGCAAGGTGGTAAATGGAAAGGCAAAGAAGTTGTCAAACCCAAACACACTACTCCTTCTTTGAAGCCTAGTGAAGGAAAAACAAAGGATAACACTTGTTTCTGTTGCGGTAAGATTGGACAATGAAAGAGAAACTACCCAAAGTACATGGAAGACAAGAATAATGTAGTGGACATTTCAAATTCAAGTATTTTTGTTATATAAATAAATTTATCTACTTCTTCATCAAAGGTATTAGATACTGGATGTGGTTCTCACATTTGCAATTTTGTGCAGGGGCTAAAAAGGAGTAGAGATTTGGAAAAACGTGAATTTGACCTACGAGTTGGCAATGGAGCAAAGGTTGTTGCTTTACCTGTAATAACTTATGTATTGACTTTACCTAGTGGTTTAATAATTCAGTTAGAGAACTGTTATTATGTACCTGCAATTAGCAGGAATATTATTTCTATTTATTATTTGGACAAGTTTGATTTTTCATTCATAATAAAGAACAATTGTTGCTCCATTTATTTGAATAATATATTCTATGCTACTGCAAAAATGACCAATGAACTATAAGTACTTGATCTTGAAATGCCTATTTATAATATTAATACTAAAAGGATGAAACCTAATGAGTTAAATCTAACTTACCTTTGGCATTGTCGATTATGCCAAATAAATGAGAAACACATTAGGTTAATAATCTTAGACATGCAGATCTTGTTTAATTGGAAGGATGACAAAGTCTTCATTCACAAGAAAAGGTGAAAGGGCTAATGATATTTTGGCTCTCATACATACTGATGTATGCGGACCACTAGACATACTAGCCAGAGGAGGTTTTTAATACTTCATCATATTTACTGGTTATTTCAGTAGATATGGTTATGTGTATTTAATGAAACACAAATCAGAGTCCTTTGAAAATTTCAAGGAATTCAAGAATGAAGTACAAAACCAACTAGGGAAGAATATTAAAACTCTTCGATCAGATCGAAAAAATGAGTATTTAAGCCTAGAGTTTGATGATCATCTAAAAGAGTGTGGGATTATATCCGAAATCACTCCTCCTGGAACACTATAATGGAATATTTTATCTAAGAGAAGAAATTGAACCTTGTTAGACATGGTCCGATCCATGATGAGTCACGCTGATCTTCCAAACTCCTTTTGAGGACATGCACTACTAACAATAGTTTACACACTTAACCGCGTTCCATCCAAAAAGGTCGAGAAGACACCATACAAGATATGGAGTGGTAAGAAACCACATATGTCTTACATGAAGATTTAGGGTTGTGAAGTTTATGTGAAACGACAAATTTCAACTAAGTTTGAGCCTAAATCTGAAAAATGCTTTTTTGTGAGGTATCCTAATGAAACAAGAGGTATTACTTCTACAATCCTTTTGGGGGAAAATTGTTTGTTGCTCGAACTGGAGCTTTCTTGGAAAAATACTTTATTTTCAAAGGAACCAGTGGGGAAAGTAGAGCTTGAAGAAATTCAAGAATCACAAAGCATTGGTACAACTATGGAGGGATTAAAGTAGGAATCACAAGTAGTTGTGAAAGAGAAACCTGCTCAAGTTGAAAAAGACTAGCGTAGGTTGAGCATGATATATCACCAAACAGAGAGATATAAATATCTCGTAACGGATCAAGGTGATGTATTACTCATGGATCAAGATGAGCTTGTAACCTACCAAGAGGCCATAACTGATCCTTAGTATGAAAAGTGGCTAGAATCCATGAAATTTGAAATGGATTCTATATACACAAACCAGGTTTGGACCTTTGTAGAGCCTCTTGTAGGAGTTAATCCTATAGGATGCAAGTGGGTCTTTAAAAGGAAGATTGACATAGATGGTAAGGTATATACCTATAAGGCAAGACTGGTTGCAAAAAGCTATAAACAAATTCATGGGGTAGACTATGATGAAACCTTTTCACCAGTTACATTGCTTAAATCTGTTTGGATTTTACTTACTATCACTGCATATCATGATTATGAAATATGGAAGATGGATATCAAGACTTCTTTCCTTAATGGGAATATTCTTGAGGATATGTACATGACATAAGTTGAAGGATTCTACATACCAGAAGAAACACATAAGATATACAAGTTACAACGATCAATCTATGGATTGAAGCAAGATTCGAGAAGCTGGAATCTTCATTTTGATGAAATTGTAAAACAAAATGGGCTCATAAAGAATGAAAATGAGCCTTGTGTCCACAAGAAGGTTAGTGGGAGCATGATCTTATTCCTAATGTTATATGTAGATGACATATTATTCATTAGAAACAACGTCCCTACCTTGTAATAAGAGAAAACATGGTTAGAGAAATGCTTTTCTATGAAGGATCTTGGTGAAATAACCTATATATTAGGAATCAGGATCTATAGAGATAGATCATAAAAACTTTTTTGCCTAAGTCAAAGTACATACATAGACAAAATGCTGAGATGCTTTAATAAGCATGATTCTAAGAAAGGATTCACACCTATGCAAAATGGGCACGTGTCTACCAAAAACACAATCCCCTTCAACTAAGGAAGAAAGGGATCACATGAATAAAATTCCATATGTATCTACAATATGATCTATCATGTATGCCATTTTATGTACTCGATTAGATGTCTCATATTCTTTAAGTGCAACGAGTAGGTACCAATATTATGACAAAGAAGCTCCTAAAGAAGGAGCATAAACATTCATTTGCTTTGGCCTAAAGTTGACTCAATTCCAAGTGACAGCTTGCCAAGCATAAAAAAGGAAGAGACTGGAGTTGCATGTTTCTATTACATTCAAGGGGAGATCTCTAATACGGCTGTGTTGATTGTCCTCTAAGCATTTGTTTTGTTTATTTTTGTTTATTGAGTCTCCTCATTAATTACACATCTTTGGATTGAGTTTTTGAATGAATTCATTTTTAGCATGCATAATTCAATTGTTTGCATCTGAGTATGATAATTATGTTTTAACTCAATTGGTTTAGTTAATGGAATAAGAACCATTTTTTTTGTTTGTTCAAGCTACGTGGAAAGTGAAATCTCAAATTATTTTGAAAAACTTAAAAATTTGAGACTTATTGTATGTGACTCGAGTCACCCACAATCTATGACTGAATCAAATAAAATAGAGGAAATCAAGCAAACTTTAGTGTTTGTGACTTGAATCACAGTCTACACATGATTTAAATCATGTAACACTATGACCCGGATTTATGTTGATAGCAATTTATTACATGAGTTTAATTTTTTTTTAATGATTGGAACCTAAAATCTGAAAAAACAATGAAATTGAGTGACTCATACCAAAATTTTAAAATGAAATCATATTTTAAGAAAATGAAAATAAAGAGTCAAAAATACATTTAAACTTTATTTTTATAATATATAAACCAAATACTTAATTTTAATATTTAAATATCAACTCTTTAATATATTTTTGCCACATGTCACAAACCAATACATTGAACAAGAATAAATAAAAAAATATAAATAAAGCAAATCTGACCTCTTTTAAAATATATGACTAAAACATTAAAAAAAAATTAAAAGCTTTTAAGCCTATCTTTCTACTCTCTCCAAATAGAATTATAAATTTATTTTAAGAAATATAAATATTTTTATCAACCAAAATCTAATATATTTACCTTTTAAAAAAAATTTCAATTTATTTTAAGAAATAGATAAAAAGAAATAGAGAAATATTAATCCAGTCAATATTCTGAGTCAAGGTTCTTTCAATGGGTCAAGATACTGCCGAGATAAAAGACGTCTGGTGAGTAACAAGCTTCATACCAAAGACAGGCTCCGTCACTATAAATAAAACCCATGTGTTCCTTCTTATTCATACTCAACTAAGTTACGTGCGTTTCGCTGTAGAATCCGTAGGTATTTCAAAATGTCGCATTTGGTGAATAAAGTCAAGAACTTCGTATCTGATAAATTCCACGGCGTGGCCAAGCCTGAAGCGAGTGTCGCCGACATGGAATTTAAGCGCGCAACCATGAATAGCGTCGAGTACTTGGCCAAAGTCTCTGTTCATAATCCTTATTCACATTCTCTCCCTATTTGTGAGGTCAACTACTCTTTCAAAAGTGCCACTAGGTATTTCTCAGTTCATTCATTTTCGTAGTTTCTTCTTCATTATATGTTTTTTACCTAATGTTTTTTGTGTTTGGTGGTGAAAGGGAGATCGTATCAGGGACAATACTAGATCCAGGGTCGTTGAAGGCAAAGGACACAACAATGGTGGATGTACTTGTGAAGGTGCCATATAACATATTGATAAGCTTGGCAAAGGATATTGGAGCTGATTGGGATATTGACTATCAATTGGATTTGGGTCTCGTTATTGATCTTCCTGTTGTTGGTAACTTCACCATTCCTCTTTCTCGTAAGGGAGAGGTTAAGCTTCCAAAACCTTTCTAATATGTGTTCTAGTTTCTACTTGCTGTGGACAATACTAAGAAAAATAACAACTTAGTTTGTTGCACCTCGTTGTTTTCTTTGGTTCTATGTTAGTGTATTGGAAACATATTGTATCATGTGCTTTCTCTCATTGGAATAAAAATGATTTTGTTTATAGAATTGATTATAACTTAACTAAAATCTAAAATTTTAAAGATCAAATGTAGTATCGAGCATATTCTAAATATTTAAAGAATATGATTACATGTGTCTATAAAAGTTAATAGAAAGACTCACGGATATAAAAAGTAATTTTAACAATATCCCTAAATAACATACGAGTTCTAAAAATGAAAATGATTTTTTAATTGAATTTTATTTTTAAATATGAAATTCTTCAAACAAGGTTTGAATAGGTAGTTTATTTGCAATGATTTGAATGAAAAGAAAAATTAAATTTTAGATGACTTGAATAAAAAAAATTGAATTTAAAAGATTAAAAAATAAAGTAAAAAGTTTAAAAGTGTGAGGATCTTTTCGATTCATGAATAAGGATATAAAGTGAGATCTAATAGTGAAGTTCGTTGATGGTCTTGACGTCTATCTATTTTAGTCAGGTGACGGAGGTACTTGCAAATACTTTGATGCTTCAGTTAGTAATGATCGAAAGTGGTGGATTTTAGGATTATAATAGTTTGTACATGAATATGAGATCTTTGTTAGGCTTTTAAAGTATGGTTCTAAGTTATTCTTTCTTTTTTTCCGATTTAGGACGTTAGGCTTGTTTACAATTGTATGAAAGGAGAGATGTATGAATATCTTTCAAAGTACCATATGACAATTCTATGTCTTATGAATGCTCTGATCAGGTGTTCTTCTAGAGGATGCCCATCTTAAATTCCGTAGTATTATAATAATCTTTTTTGTGGATAACTACTTTAGAGCGGTGATGTTAGTTTCCTAACATCAACGGGGTAACTTCGATACCCCTTGATTGCCTAATCCAATGACCCTTTAAGACTTTACCATCTCTACTCATATATTTTGTTAGTTCATGATTATTTATGGCTTATAAGAACTAAGGATGATCCTTAGTTCTTATAAGTCATACATGGCGATCTTGTTCTCCAAAGAGCTAGCATCAGTGAAAAGAATGCAGGGGAAGGTAAGATGGAACAAAATTGGGAATTTTCGCGGTGAGAATTGGATATCAAACTATTGATTAACTTGAATCGTAAATCATTATTCACCATCGGTCTTTAATTTTTTCAAGGGAAGGGAAAAAGATCGAATAACCCATGAGTATGCAATGCAAAGTTAGAGAGTCTAAGGTTCAGGGGTTGGTTATACCTAGGGAAGGTATTAACATTCTAAGTATCTGTAGTATTCTACAGGAACCTCTTGTTTTATTCGTGTTATTTTTGTTTGTTAATGGTGAAAGACCTAGGGCGTTTGTTTCTAAGTATGCTCGCCAAGACATCGCATCTCGTACCTACGTATTTTGACAGGAATGGAATCAGAGCATTCGTAGTTCCCCTAAAGGGATGGGGAACTCTTGAATGTGGTCAAGGTTCCAAAGGAAGAAGGTTTATTGATTTACTATAGGAAAAGAGAGAAGTCGTCACCTTAGGGAGAATACTCGACTTAAACCACCACAAGCATGCGGGAGACGGTCTTTGCTTCGCATTGAGAGAAGGGCTCCAACTCGAATTTAATCGACGAGTATGTCACATACCTCTCCCAAGCGGAAAAGATTCTACATCTTTCTCGATTATGTTATGGGGTAGGAGAATTATATCTCGACTACATAGATGATCTGTGATTGGTTGGCACCCAGTTTGTAGCACCAATCTTGTGCAGCAAAGCATATTTCATACTCAGCTTGCTGGTAGCAAGCTTCCCTTTTGATGGCCACTTTCTGACTTGATTCCAGTTATCACTTGACATATTTTGTTGTCAGAGATGGTTAACTCAGGCATAGCTTCATTTGTTATTTCAAGGAAATCGTTGATGATGGTGGGAGTGAAGCTGACACAATTTCCTCGAACAAAGACTCTCCCAAACTCAGTATGCTTTCTATCAACACATTTATCAGATAAATTAACTATAAATTCTTTGACCAGAATTTCATAGCATTGAGAGAACTAGGTTACAGTTTTCATCAAGCCAGCATCACAGATGAGGGCCACAATCTCCTTGTTTTCAAGAGCATTTTGTGTAAGCTCTCTCTCCAGGGCCAACCTCTTTTGATAGACATACTTCCACCTGAGGGATAGTGAAAGGAGATGTTGTCAAGGGGAACCTCAGGGACCTTTTCAGCCAGTTTGCACTTTGAGGGTTTCTTCTTAGGTTGGATGTGAGTGGCATCCTCAGCAACATCAGACTCAGTCTCTGATTCAGTACCAGATTCAACCTTCCTCTTCTTTGTGACTACTTTGCTTCAGCCTTTGGGGGGTCCAACTTGTCTTCTCTTAGTTCTAGCCTTCTTTGTGGGAGTGTCGTGTTCAGCCGTCTTCTTTGTGGGGCTGTCTTGTTCAACAACCTTTTCAACTTCCTTTTTCTTGAGAGGACCTTGATCATCCACCTTTTTTCCTTTCCTTATCATAAGCCTTTTGGCTATGCCCGAATTGATTTTTGCTATTAGATCATTATTAGAATATTCATCAAGGTCCACCAACTCAGTATTTTTGGTGCCTTGCACATCATCACCTACATTGTCAGACAATGCACCCTTGTTCTTCTCTTCTGATGTATGATCTTTCAAGGTTCCAACATTGTGCATAGCATCACTTTGATCATGCACAGTTGGGACAGACCCCTCATTGCTGGGTGGAATGGGTATGTTCAAAGCCCTAGCTACCATTTCAGCAATGATGTTGTGGGTTTTCTTGGCTCCATCGTTATTAATATCAGAAGTTGCAGGAGTAGGAGCTTTACCTGAGACAAGGTCTTTGGACCTTCTTGCATGTTGGCTCCTTGGGTTCTTTACCAGAACTCCTTCTGGAGTCATCATGCGCAGGGGTGCTATCTCAAGCACTGAGTTAGGGTTGCTTGACTCAGTTCCTACCTCAGACTCGTTGGTGGGTATTCTCTTGGTGGGAAAGGATTTTGGTGAATATTGAGACATTGTGCAAAATATTGATCGTGTGGAAGAGTGCTTTCGTTCGTTGGAGGATGTAGGAAAGATGAACAATTTGATCGTGAACCAAATGGTGTAGGAGTTTGAAGTGTAGGGGCTCAATAGATGATATGGCAAGTGAGAAGGGAACTTAATGTTTTGACCAATCAGGTAAATGATTGAATTTTAAATTATAATTCCCTATTCCCATTAATTGTTATAAATCACCATTACTCAAGGGCCTCAATTTTTGTAGATCATTTTTAAATTTATGGTCCTTGACACTTCTTGCACCAATTTCATCATCATCAGGTTTTGCACAAATCTCTTGCCATTTACACAAGTTACCCCTGAGCAAACCTCCCTTGTACTTACCAGGACTTGGTTGAATTGTGCGCTGGATGTCACAAAACAAGGTCATGACATCCGGAGTAACATTGCTTCCTTTAGGCAGGGTAGCAGTCATGGACTCCATCAGGTTCCAGTATAGCCTATTTAGCTTTCCCTAATGACCAATATTTGGGTATCCCTTCTTGGCTTGCTTCCCCACATGGAGTTTCTTACATCTTGTCCTTCTTTCTGAAGCATACTTTGAAGATACTCTTGCTGATTTATTGAACCTTCTATTTTGTCTGTCTTTCACCATCCATAATTTGTCCTTATTTTCCTTTTTATCCAAGTTATTGAGGTTACTTCTGGGCTCCCATAAGTAGAAATTATTATTTGCTCTGGATCCCCTCATGATTTCCTCCCCTTCTTGATTTGTGACAACACAATCATCCTTGGTAAATTGGACCTTTAGACCTTGATCATAGAGCTGACTGATACTTATTAGGTTTACAGTCAGTCCTTTAACCAGCAAAACATTCCTTAATTCTGGAGCTTTAGGACTGTCAAGTTGTCCAACACCTGTGATTTCTCCTCTAGCTTCATCACCAAAGATTACATGACTTGAGGAATGTGATTTGAGGTTTATCAATAAATCCTCAGTTCCAGTCATGTGTCTAGAGCAGCCACTGTCAAAGTACCAGTCATCTTTGGTAGGTATTCTTAGATAGTTGTGGGCTACTAAAGCCATAGTCTTAGCAACCCATTATCTTTGCTTGTTAGGAACCTCCTTCTTGGGTTTGGCATGAAGATGCCTCTTGCCATGTGTACCTTGTTTGGCTTTTCCTTGACTAGGAAATCCATGCAGCCAGAAGCACATAACTTTAATATGCTCAAGTTTTCCACAGTGGTAACACCTATACCCTTGGAATTTTCTCTTGACTTGATTCCAGTTTCTATGGGGTGGATGTTGTGACATTGGTCATGACATCCTTTTTAACTTCTGAATCTCAGGTTGTAATCTCTTGAGTTTCAACACAGGATTTTGTTTATCAACAAATCCTAGTCCAGACCTATCTCCTGAGGTCTGTCCAGCCTGAAGGATTTCCTCTAGGGTGTCAGTCCCAGAATTGAGCATCCTTATGGATTTTGTCATTTGATCCTTTTTACCTTTCAACTCATTCACTTCACTTCTGAGTGTGTTTATTGTGGCTAGATGCTCTCTCCTTTCAGCTTCTAACTCCTTGATGATTTTCTTCTGTTGCTCTCCTTGCTGATACAGTTATGTGCTTCTAATGTGAAGCTTTTGATATGAGGCTGAAATTTCCTCAAAAGTCAATTCCTCATCACTAGACTCATCATCAGAGATACACACACTGTTTAGGGAAGTGACATGTTTAGCTGACTCCTCTTCTGATCCACTGTCAGAATCTCCATCTGACCAAGTGACAGTTAGGCCTTTTTCCATTCTTTTTGAGGTATGTGGGACATTCCCTTCTGATATGACCATATCCCTCACACTCATGACACTGTACCCCTCTGCTTTGGCTGACTTTATCTTCAGATTTCTCTTTAT